ATATATATATATATATATATATATATATATTCCTCCTGTCTCAGATAATAGCTGGAATTACAAGCAAAAGTGGCACCATTTCAAGTTTACAACTAACTTTTATTAGTTGTTTTATTGTTTGTTTGCTTTAGCTTGGGTTTCAATGATATAGGCCTTGTATGTTAAAGAAACAGAGATATAATGAAGACCTCTAAGACCAACAGAGTATACCCAGCATCTAGCAGTGTTTAGGAGTATTAGGTACTGTATAAACATTTGTTAAATAATAGCACTTTGGAGTTGGGATGTAACTCAATGGAAGCTCAGATGTAGCACTTGCCTAGCATGCGTAGAGCCCTGGGTTCAATCTCCAGCACCCCCCAAAAGAAGGGGGGTTCTGAATATCAAAAATCCATCAGACTTAAACAGATGTCTATATAACAAAGTCCAAAACAGTATAATTTACAATAGACAAAAGGTAGGAATAGCTCAAATGCCCATTGACAGATAAATGAAGAAATACAATGTAGTATGTACATATAATGGAATATTACTTAGCTTTAAAAAGAAATGAAATTATGAAACATGCTACAACATGAATGAAACTTGAAGATATTATGCTAAGTGAAATCAATTGGACACAACAAGATAGGTATTACATGATTTTACTTATCTGAGGTACCTGGAATCATCAAATTCATATCTTATATAATATAATAGGATAAGGCTTCTGTTTTACCCTCCTTTGTTGATTTGAGACTCAGAGGAATTAATTGATTTTTCCCAAGGTCACAAGCTAACTAATGGCAGAGCCAGTCCTCTAAGTGCAGGGTAATAAAAGAGAACTCATTAAAGGTCAAAAGATTGAGGTCCAAAAATGACTGTAACAGTAATTATCCACACAACCTTTGAAAAATCAATTATCCTTTGAAGAAAAAATTATTTTCAGTGCTGGGGACTGAACCCAGGGCCTTGTGAATGACAAGCAAGTGCCCTGCCACTGAGCTACATCCCTAGTCCTTTTTAAAAAATTTTATTTTGAGACAGGGTCTTGTGATGTTGCCTGGGCTGGCTGGCCTCAAATTTTCCATCCTCCTGCCTCAGGTTCCTGAGTAGCCAGGATTACAAGTGAGTGCCACCATGCCCGGGTACTCATTTGCTTTTCTGTGTATTACTCTCTTAATTTATAAATTACTGTTGTTCGTAATAATAGGTTTCTATGACCTCTCAGTATCTGTGGAAGCAAACAAAGATAATGTGTCTTTGTTCTTCCTTATTCATTTTCTTAATCCTCTTTTCTTAACCTTTTCAATTTATCTGCACTCAGAGATCTGAGCAAACATGTGGTCTCTCACTTTCCACACTTACTTCTTGAGAATTTTTCATATGATCTTTATTTTTCTTTCACTTTTTTTTCTTTGTCAAAATATTATTTTTTAAATTTTATTTTATTTTATTGTGGTAGAAGAATTAATATGAGATCTGCTCTCATACAAATATTTAAGTCTCCAATATTGTTGGCTATAAATATAGTGTTATACAACAGATCTCTAGAATTTATTTCTCCTATTTAACTGAAACATAATACCCTTTGATAAATAACTCCACAGTTGCTCTTTCTACCAGCTCCCAGCAACCAGAAATATTTCCTTTTAAAAGTTGAAGAGTATTTCATTATATATTTTATTTATATATATATATATATATGTATATATATATACACATGTATATCTTTTTGCTGATGAATGAATAGATGAATAAAATGTTGTACATATATAAATTAATTTATATACATATAAAGTCATCTAAATGTATATATGTAAAAGTTTTTATACATGAAGTTTTGTGCAACTATAGCATTATTGTGTACATTAAATCACCAGAATCTGTTCATTAACTGAATTTTTATAGATTTTGACCAACATTTCCCATTTTCCTCACCCTGCATTATATATATATATATATATATATATA